AAATTGATGACAGTTATCAACCTTTTATCTTGAAAGGGTTAATTTCTTTAAACGGAAATTGTGACGACCAGAAAGAAATAAGAATGCTCAGAGACACCGGTGCAATGCAATCTTTTATTGTGGCAGATAGATTACCATTGTCTGAGGACACTTTCTGTGGCTCAAGTGTGATAGTTCAGGGCATTGACATGAGTTGTATAACTGTGCCATTACATCGTATACATTTACAGAGTGAGTTATGTACGGGATTTGTAAGAGTGGCGGTACGTCCTTCTCTTCCTGTTCAGGGCGTTGATTTTATCCTTGGAAATGATCTAGCTGGAGGAAAAATCTTGCCTGTGTTAGAAGTTGTTGCAAAACCAGATGTGTGTAGTCAATCAGATGATGTGTCACATACTTACCCTGAAGTTTTTCCCGCATGCGCTGTCACTCGCGCTCAGTCGCGTAAAGTGGGTGATATGGTGGATTTGTCTGACTCTGTTTTTATCCCTCTTCTTGCTGGTGACGAATCATTGTGCACTGTTACGTCATCAAAAATAGATAAATCACAGTCAGAGAAAATGAGAGAAAATGTGTCTGACGCACCAGAATTGAAAATGTCCGTGTCACGAGAGAAAATTATTTCTGCACAGAAAGAAGATAAATCTCTCATTACTGCTTTTAATTCTGCTGTCTCTCTTGAGGTAGCTAAAAATCAGAAAGTTGCTTATTTTCTTGAGAATGAGTTATTGATGAGAAAGTGGTGTTCTAGCACAAACGATTCAGATTGGAATGTTGTGTATCAGGTGGTCATTCCTTCTCCTTATCGTCAGCATGTGTTATGTTTAGCGCATGATCATCAGCTTGCCGGTCACTTAGGAATTACGAAAACGTATGATAGGATTTTACAGCACTTCTTTTGGCCAGGCTTGAAGAAGGATATTGCTCAGTACTGCCGTACTTGTCACACATGTCAAACTGTTGGGAAGCCGAACCAGGTGATTCGTCCTGCTCCACTGTTTCCCATACCAGCAATCGGGGAGCCGTTCGAGCATGTGCTCATAGACTGTGTTGGGCCGTTGCCTAAAACAAAATCGGGTAACCAGTTTTTGTTTACCATAATGTGCATGTCTACTAGGTTTCCAGAGGCAATTCCACTGAGAAAAATCACCGCACCCGTTATTGTCAAAGCATTAGTGAAGTTCTTTTCCACTTTCGGTCTTCCGAAAATAGTACAAAGCGATCAGGGCACAAATTTTTTATCAAGACTTTTTAAACAAGTGCTGGAGTCTTTAGAAATTTCTCACCGAGTTTCAAGTGCGTACCATCCACAAAGCCAGGGCGCACTTGAACGCTTTCACCAGACACTTAAGTCGATGCTTAAGAAGTACTGCATGGACACTGCTAAAGACTGGGATGAGGGGGTTCCCTTAGTATTATTCGCGGTAAGAGAGACTGTACAAGAATCTCTTGGTTTCAGTCCAGCCGAACTTGTATTCGGACATCAGATGAGAGGACCTTTGAAAGTTTTTAAAGAACACATTTTGACCACTGTTTCAAGTCCTCACACGAATGTACTGGATTATGTGAGTAAGTTTCGAGATCGTTTGCATACTGCTTGGTCACTAGCTAAAGAATCTCTAGGAAATGCTCAGAAAAGCATGAAGCGCAAGTATGATCAGAGAGCAGTTGCGCGTTCGTTTTCAGCCGGTGATAAAGTGTTGGTGCTTTTACCTGTTCCAGGATCATCTTTGTCCGCCCGTTTCTTTGGTCCTTATGTGGTGAAACAGAAAATGAGTGAAACTGACTATGTGCTTTACACACCTGACAGAAAACGTCAAACCCGAGTTTGTCACATAAACATGCTAAAAGCTTACCATGACAGGGAGATGCCTGAGGTGAAAACTTCAGAGGAGACTGCAGGGCCCGCTGTCTCATCTGTCGCATTAGCCGTGGATCTGTTAAAACCTGTTGATATCTCGGGGGCTGACGAGGATGGGGTCGTGCTTCGCAATGCTCCTCAGCAGTGTGCAAGATTAGCTAATTCCGAGATTTTAAAAGATCTTCACTCGTATCTGAATCATTTAACTCCTGACCAGAGAACTGACATTGTTAAAATAATATCTGATTTTAACTGTCTGTTAGTGATGTTCCTAAACAAACAAATGTTTTACAACATGATATTGTTGTAAATGATGCTCGTCCTATTAAGCAACATGCTTATCGCATAAATGCAGTCAAGAAATCTGTTATGCGTCAAGAAGTGAATTATCTGCTTGAGAATAATTTAGCCAGGCCTAGTTGCAGTCCCTGGAGTTCTCCGTGTCTTCTCGTTCCTAAACCTGACGGCACGTATAGATTTTGTACGGATTTCCGTAAAGTGAACGCCGTAACGGTGCCAGACAGTTATCCGTTACCGCGAATGGAAGACTGTATTGATAATCTTGGGTCTGCTCGCTTTGTTACAAAGCTGGATATGCTGAAAGGGTACTGGCAGGTACCACTTACTCCACAAGCGTCAGATATCTCAGCATTTGTAACACCAGACAAGTTCCTCCAATACACAGCGATGGCTTTCGGACTCAGAAACGCTCCAGCCACCTTTCAGCGTCTTGTAAATATCGTCTTAGCTGATGTACCGAATTGCAATGTGTATCTTGATGATTTAGTTTTATATTCAGTGACTTGGAAGGAACATGTGTGCTTGTTGAGAACTGTGTTCGAACGTCTACGTGCAGCTAACTTAACTCTCAACTTGGCAAAGTGTGAGTTTGGTCGAGCGACTGTCACTTATCTGGGTAAAGAGGTTGGACAAGGCCAGGTACGACCAGTGGAGGCTAAGGTTACCGCTATTGCAGATTTTCCAGTCCCTACCACTCGACGACAGTTGCGAAGATTTCTAGGTATGGCTGGTTATTACCGCAGTTTCTGTAAAAACTTCTCAACCGTTGTTACTCCTCTCACCTCGTTGCTTAGTCCATCTAAACTTTTTAAATGGTCTGTGGAGTGTCAGAATGCTTTTGATTGTGTCAAAATGCTTTTATGTAATGCACCTGTTCTCGTTGCACCTGATTGTACGCATACTTTCAAGCTTGAGGTCGATGCCAGTGCTGTTGGAGCAGGAGCTGTTCTTCTTCAGGAGGATACCCATGGTATAGATCATCCTGTGAGTTATTATTCCCGTAAGTTTAATAAACATCAGCTTAACTATTCTACCATTGAAAAAGAAGCACTTGCTCTCTTGCTTGCTCTCCAGCATTTCGAAGTTTACCTCGGTTCCAGTAGTCTTCCTATCACAGTCTTCACCGATCATAACCCTCTAGTGTTTTTATCCAGGATGTACAATCAAAACCAGCGTTTGATGCGCTGGGCTCTAGTACTCCAGAATTATAATTTGGAGATCAAGCACAAAAAGGGTGTTGATAATGTTTTGGCTGACGCTCTTTCGAGAGTGTAAAAATATTGTCTGTTTTAACTTGTTTTTCACAAACAGGTTTGCTCTTAAGGGTGGGAGTGTTACGTCCCTGTGGTTCCGCGTATGTGTTTTCTTTTGGTTTCTCTTTCTCTGCTATCACCTTCTTAGGTGTGCGTCCTCACTCATCTGCTGTTGGCTGGGAGAGATGTCAATCATCATTACATCGTGACGTCATCTCCTTCCCGCCGCCTATCAAGTTCAACACTCGAGTTTAAAGGGAAGCGGGAGAGGAACGCATGTCGGCTTGCTTTCTTTTCTGTCGCTTTGCTTGCCGCCTTTGTGTTTATTTTCCGTTACAGATATTGTCCTGTTGTTTTTTCTTTCTGCCATGACGGCGTGTTTTGAGATTACCAAGTGTAATGTGTTCTGCCATGACGGCGTGTTTTGAGATTACCAAGTGTAATGTGTTTTGCCATGACGGCGTGTTCTGAGATTGCTAAGAGTAATGTGTTCTGCCATGATGGCGTGTTTTGAGGTTACCAAGAGAAATTCGGACAGGTAATATGTCACGTGACGTACACAAAGCAACACTTAGCAAACTCGATGTATACAAACCCCAGGTAGGGAAGTGAACGCCACCCATGGATGTTTTGTTATTAGTTAGAACAGCTAGAGAGGGCGCTTAGGCGCTGAAGATTACTGTCTTTTCTTTTCTTTTTGTTATTAGTTAGTAAGAGGTTGGGACTAGATAGTCGGAGTTTGTTTTGTTTCTTTCTTTTATTTGGCGTCACTATTTATGTCCTTATTCTCTTGGGTTGTTTATTTTTTTTGAACTCTCAATCTGTTTATATTTTGTTTATTTTCTTGGTGTCCACAAATATATTTATCATCATTATTATTATTGTCCATCTTTTGCATTTACACTTCAAGTACAATAAACCGTACTTTATTTTCTTTCATAATACTTTGTTGTGTCGTCTCTTGCCACCTTAAATACACCATCTTCTGGTCACGACCTCAATGTTGCCCCTTTAAAGACCTTTTGTCTAAGGGTGCGTAACAAAAATAATAATTAATTAATAATGCTTAAAATCACGAATTTCAAAAACATGTATTTAACTATTTCCTGGAGCAGCTTACATGTTATGGTTAGTTCAACAGTAATTATATAAACATGTGATGTGGTGTGTAAACACGGTCTAAATGAATAAATGCCAGTATACTAGACATCAGATTTTCAAAATTGTTGTATGAAAAATAACAAAATGGCATTTTCTATCATCAGTCAGACAAATAAAATGAAACCGGCAGTACAAAAGTCTAGAGTAGACTAACTAAAATACCACTGAATATTGAGGAAGCAAATGTTTCATGCTGCTAAACTGGTTTGTGGACATACATACACCGCTGGTATTTCAGCTGTATGGGGTAGGACGTGTCAGCCATTGATATTTTTGAAGGGTTTCACAATACTAAAATGAGCAGATCACATTTCGAAACTCAAGTTCCCTATTGCTGAGTGACTACGTCTATTATCACCTTGATTGAACTCAAATAGCTAAACAGAAATGTATCCTCAATTACTTTTTTTGCAACTGACAGACAGTAAACAGTAAAAACTTTTACTGAAGAGTAACATTTACTCTTTTTCAGCAGAGCAGTTTACATTGTAAAACACTGATACAATTTCAACTGTATAATATAGGGGAGTGCATCCACATACACACCCTTAAATCACACAAAGTAGTAGTATATATTCAGAAATATATGAGTGCGGTGATCCCTCAACTCATCTTTGGGCCACAAGACCATCTGCTCTTGAAAGGACCCATATAAGCTTAAAATATTATATATACATTGATTAAGTGTCTCAGTCTAAGCACACTGATTCAAGATCAGTTTTACGCTTCAGAGCATAACCACTGAAGGAACGCTGAGATGTTTATAAGCTGTAGTAAAGACCCAGAAGAGAAAGATCTTTCACATTGGTGTCAAAGGTCACGAGGAGCCCTGCCTCTTTTGACTGACCACTCGGAGCGTCTCGAGCTGCTGCGCTCGCTCGCTGTGGGCTGTTATCAGGTTCTGGTTCTCTTCCGTAAGAATCCTGTATTCCTCCTCCAGTTGCACAAACTCCATCGAAGCCTTTTCGTCCTCTAGCAGCTCAGCCATGAGCTCTTTCCTGAGAATGACACATATATAATAAAACGTTATACATGACCATTCATTACATAACTTTTTTTAATGACTGTAATGATGATATGAAAGGTGTGTGCTAAAATAACAAATTATGTGGCTTGGGTGTCACACACATGACTACAGTGTTCCATGCCCAAAACTATTTTATAGGAAGTGAACCTGTTGGCACCATAGCTTTTGGTAGCTGGGTTGAAACAATCTAAACCGGGGAAAAACAAAACATTTTTATTATAGACAGAACTGCAGACGTCTAGATGACTTGTCTGTGCTTTGTAATGTTTCTCTAGCTCACAATGACACTGAGTCAGCAGGTGATCCACTCTGCTTTGCCCTTTCGACCAAGTTAATCGTTCGAGCAGGGTTGTAGTGTGATGACAGGCACGTTTAAAATGTCGAAAAAAGGGTTAAAAGTGACTATAATCACACAAGGATGAATCAGACACAAACTGTATATATACCATTAGGGAACATCAGCGAATGGTTATGAGTAATAAATCTGCAGAAAATGTACAGGATTGATTTACAGTATATTCCTGAACAGCTGAGTTTGGCACTTTATCCGAACTCAGTGTATCTGAAAAAGTTAATGTGTTTTTCTCCTGAAGAGAAATATATATATATATAATTACCACTTGATTAATCTCCTGTTCCAACACATCCTAAAGGTGCTCTATAGGACTGAGATCTGGTGACTGTGGAGGTCATTCGAGTATAGTGAACTCATTGTCATGTTCAAGAAACCAGTATGAGATGATTTGTAGATTCTGCAGACCTCGGTTGTAACCAGTGGTTATTTGAGTTACTGTTGCCTTTCTATCAGTTTGAACAAGTCTGGCCATTCTTCTCTGGCATCAACAAGGTATTTTCCCACAGAACTGCCGCTCACTGTTCTCTTTTTCAAACTATTCTCTGTAAACCCTAGAGATGGTTGTGCGTGAAAATCCCAGTAGATCAGCAGTTTCTGAAATACTCAGACCAGCCCATCTGGCACCAAAGGCCATGTCAGGTTCAAAGTCACTTAAATCACCTTTCTTCCCTATTCTAATGCTCAGTTTTAACTTCAGCAGATCGTCTTGACCATGTCTACATGTCTAAATGCGATGAGTTGCTGCCCTCAGCCCCCCTAATTGTCCACTCAGCCCCCCTGAAAAATTTGCGATTAACTGTAATCTGTACGAATTTGTGATCGCCTCAGTCCCCTTTAAAACTCCCATGAAAAAGGTGGCAGGCTTCGGTCCCTCCTCCTCTTTTAGTCTGCCTTATTTTCCATGTTATCTTCATGAATGAAAATGAGAAATGTAGATCTTCTTTTAAGTGAATTTTACTGCACAACTGTAGAGGTAAAAAAAAATGTTTATAATATTACATGTTTAAAAAATATTTTTCTTTTACCTTTTTCACCCCTGATGAGTTTGCATCTCTGCATTTAAACTGCTTATAAGAGTAAATGACAAAGACAGAGAAACATCGTGTGAGTTATTTCATTCAACTAAATATTGACCCAGAAGGTGATTGTGGCATTTATTAGCCTTAGAGTAAATCCATTTGTGGTTTTCGATGTCACTTTGAATTATAAAAGTGGAAAATTGATTCATGTGCTATTATATTTTTTTAATAAATTCACACACACACACGCACAATATATATATATATATATATATATACACTACCGTTCAAAAGTTTGGGGTCAGTGAGAATTTTATTTTTATTTTTTGGAGGAAAGAAATCAATACTTTTATTTATCAAGGAATAATTAATTTGATCGAAAGTGACAGTAAAGACATTTATAATGTTACAAAAGTCTTTTGAACTTCCTATTCATCAAAGAATCAAAAAAAAAACTGTACAATTGACAGACCAACAACTGTTTCAACATTGATAATAATAATAAATGTTTCTTGAGCATCAAATCCTCATATTATACTGATTTGTGAAGGATCATTTGACACTGAAGACACTGACACTGGTGATGCTGAAAATTCAGCTTTGATCACAGGAATAAATTACACTTTACTATATATTCACACAGAAAACAGCTGATTTACACTGGAATAATATTTAATACTATAACTGATTTTTGTTGTATTTTTAATCAAATAAGCGCAGCCATGGTTAGCAGAAGAGAATTCTTTTAAAAGTATTTAAAATCGTACCGACCCCAAACTTTTGAACGGTAGTGTATATATATATATATATATATATATATATATATATATATATATATGTATATGCCCTCATTGGGGGCTGATCCCCCCAATTCTGAAATCCTAAAATCGCCCCAAATTGCTGCCATATGATAGGCTGATTACATATTCATAGTTATGTTTACAAAACATATACTACTATACTAGGTGGTTTGAAAAAAAGAAAAGAAAAAAGGTGTTGTTTGCAATCTTAAAATGTGGAGTATATTCAACTTGTTAGGCTTTACAGTGCACTTTCATTTTCATCAAAGTGTGGTCTTGCTATGTGAATGTTAAAAAACAAAAAGCCCTGTATACCACAATACAGTATGTCAACTCTTGTCATGATTACACAGGAAACTCCAGACAAATGCAACTTTGATCAATGATCTGCCTGTTCATAGTTACAAAGATGTGTGTTTATATGTATAGGCTACATACTGTATCAGAATATATTTATTGATTGTAGAAAAAAATAGCACATTAATAGGCTGGTTAACAGCTCTGAATCTCAGTAACATCATGAATTCATGTATTGAGCTTGTGTTTTAAGTTATTTTTAAAGCTTACTTTCTGTCTTCCAGCCAGGCGATTTCATGTTTCACCTGGTTGAACTCATTGGCCATCTTGCAGTGGTCTTTGTACACTTCTATGGACTCCTTTAGAGACCGACACGGCAGCACCGGCTGTTAAAGGTAGAAACGTAATGACATTATTACATTTACATAAAACTGTAAGCGTTTTATTTTTCCTAATACTTCAGTACAAACCACAATTGCTCTTTTTTAAAGAGTGAATTGACAAATAAAGTATACTTTTGCTACAAGAGTGACTGGGGATAAATTGAGGAACTTTGATTTTTTCTTTTCTTTGTGATGTTATATTTGGATTGTCTGCTACATCCTGGAATATACACAAAATCGTCATACAGCCTGACAAGAAGGTTTCAATCAACAGATGGAACACAATATGTGGAAACATTAGTGAGACACTTGACTTTTTTTAATTCCTTTTGTGTCAGGAACTTCTTCTTTCGCAATGACTCACGGCACAGTCCTACAGAATATCATCCACACGACAAAGCGCTTCAACTTCTCCCAGTTTTTCCCCTTAAGTGTGTGTGGGTGTATCTGTGTGTTTGCAACCCAGTGTGTGTTGTTTTTTTCAGGTAGGACAATTTCAGGTTTCAGATGGGGAATCTTCCTTAAACAGTCCTTGTCACATTGACCGGCACTGATATTCTAAACACCACGTGGCATTGATAATCCATCATAGCCTATATCATCATAACAATGACAAACCAAATTTGAATGAAAACACAATCATTTCATGAAAAAAGAAAATATTTATAGATTGATAAACAATAGATTGATAGATAGCGCTTACAGATTTATGATCTACACACTACTCAGTGCAGTTCATGCCTCATAATGTAAGCTGTAGCATGTTTGTATGAATAATGTACTAGTTATGAGGAAATGTCAAACCCAACCCTTCATGTCAGCATGAAACAGCATTGTCAACCCATACTTCCGTAATGTAGCATATATTTGAGTAAAACAATATATATATACAGTGGAAAAAAATTGTAGGCCAGCAGGACATTTTGTCCATCGGGAATTGATTGGACTGTGAAAAGTTGGAGGACATCACCCGAAAAAGAAAAGCAAGTTATCACATTATGGAAACAAGCATTTATTTTTCATACATAGATTGTCCAAAATAAGACCAAAAATGGTATATTAAAACTAGGGCTGTCAAATGATTAATCACGATTAATCACATCCAAAATAAAAGTTTGTGTTTACATAATATATGTGGGTGCACTGTGTATAATTATTTTGTATATATATAAATACACACACATGCATGTATATTTAAGAAAAAAATATTATTTATATATAAAATATTTATATTAATATATAATATAAATTATATATAAATCTATTTACAGTATATACATGAAAATATTTCTTAAATATATACAAGCATGTGTGTGTATTTATATATATATAATAATTATACACAGTGCACCCACATATATTATGTAAACAAAAACTTTTATTTTGGATGTGATTGATCACGATTAATCATTTGACAGCCCAAATTAAAACCGATGTGTCACAAGGCCCTTTAGTGGCACAATTATTTTATTTATTAATAATTAATAATTAAAATAATTATTATTATTTTTACTATTAAAAATGACATGCTTACCTTTAAGAATGTAAATAAGTTCAATTGATTTCCTGTTTACTGTAGTGAGAACTTTAAAAGTAACCGATGCCATCTTGTGGTCTAACAAAAGCATTGCTAAAATATTCCCTCTTTGAGAAAGTTTGATCCATGAATTAATTAACCGAATAAATTGTGTAACATTATGTGAAAATAAGAAGGAACAAATGTCCTCATCCAAGGAATAGACATCAATGAACGCTATTAAAAGGATAGTTCACACAAAAATATCAATTCTGTCATCTGTCATGTTCCAAACCTGTATGAATTTTTTGCCTCTGTTGAACACAAAATATTTTGAAGAATATGGGTAACTAAACAGTTTATGGTCCCAATTGACTTCCATAGTAGGCAAAAATATACTATGGAAGTCAGTAGTTTCCTACAACTGTTTGGTTACCGACATTCTTCAAAATATCTTCTTAAGTGTTCATCAGAGGAAAGAAATTCATACCGGTTTGAAACAACATGAGGGCAAGTAAATGATGACAGAATTTCCATTTTTGGGTGAACTATCCCTTTAAGACAGCAGTATATTATTTCCATGTTGTTTATAATGTTGTGGGTGGATGTGATACTATTCCTATCTGATTTAGCTTCTTTCCTCATGAATCTTACATGCAGGAACATTTCACTGCACCCTGCCTCACAAACCCACCACTTACTTACTCACACACACATTATCATTAATATCAGTACAGTGGATTAAGCCGTTTCTGCAGTTTTTTCTACGCCAAAAGTCACACCATGACCCCAAACCATTATTATCAAATACAGTAGTTGTGCACCTTTAGTTGTGAGATATAGCTGTATTCTCTATGCAGCAGACTCTGTAATTGTATTCCAAGCATACAGCAAAATAGATTATTAATAACTTTACCTGCAGGCGCTGCTCAAGGTCAGGGAATGATGGAAGGGGATCCTCTGCATCTTTCAACTCTGAGAGGAAAAGAAAGCCAGATGAACATGTCTAGTATGAGAATGCTAATGTTTGAGATCTTTACTCCAAGGCCTTAGTGGTGACATCTATATCCATCTAATCAGCCGAATCATACCACACTTCACATGACACCACAGAATGTCCAGTTAGTTGTTTACACTGATCTAGGTCCAGTTTCCTTAGAGTAAACATTCACATGGTTATTCGCCTGGAAACTGGTTCCGGATCAGTGCGAAAAGCCAAATTCGAACACCACCTGTTCGACCATGGGGTCTAAATCCTAAACGGACAGATTGAAAGTAACTATCTCCCATGTTGTTCGCATTGACTTGTCTGTAACGAGCACTCTGACAGACAGCTTGTCTGTACTGATTCCCGCCATGCCAGCTATGAGCTACAGTATGTCCAAGCGAGAATCCTCTGATGCAGCCAGCTAAAAACAGGCCTGTTTACAGTCATGCATCAGCCAAACGGCCAATTAAAAGATATATATACACATTGAAATTTGCAAGGGTATTATCTGAAACATGATATGCACATTATTCCTGCAGAATGTGGCCAGGTGGGGATAACATGACAGTTTCATGTAATTTTGGCTGATTGAATGCATATTGTTTTGAATGCATATTGTTTTGATTTAGTCTTTAATTTCACTGTAAAAAAATAAAATAATAATTATTTATATATATATATATATATATATATATATATTTATAATCAATAAGTTATGACAACATATGTTTTTACATTGCTTTAGTTTAAATCATCAAAATAAGTTAAGCAATTTTCAACTTTTCTATACAAAATTCAACTAATTTTTTTAAGTCGGTTAAAAAGTAATTTAAGTTAAAATGACAAACATCCAAGTTGATTGTACTTAAAAAAAAATAAGGCAGCAACTTAGTGTTCAATTTAATTATATAGTTATTTAGTATATAGGGCTAGGGGACACACACACACACACACACACACACTCTCTCTCCCTCTCTTCTATAAATACAAAAATAGCTGCTAAAATTAATCACAAAGCCAGTTTAATTATAGTTTAAGCCCGATATGTACTGTACATAATTATATGTGTGTGTGTGTGTGTGTGTGTGTGTGTGTGTGTGTGTGTGTGTGTGTGTGTGTGTATTATATATTATTATTAGTTTAGGTTATTTTTTGTCATGAAAATATTTTATTTTGATTTAAATTTAAATGGTTATTAAAATTAATTCTAATATATTTTAGCTTCAGTTTTTCCCAGTTATCATTATTTTATATATATAATTATTATTTATTTAGCTATTTATTATTTTGAAAATGTAAGTTTCCTTTTTAATTAAGTTTTGGAGTCAGGAAAATTCATTTTAGTTTAGCTTCTGTTTTTCACAGTTATGTTCATTTTTATTTATTTATTTCAGTGAAACTAAAAAAAATCGTTTTCGTTTTATGGTTTCATTAACGACTGTTGTGAATTACACAAAAGGTTGTTCCCTCGAACTGCGTCGGTGACGACACTAGGGGAACGCCCTTCAGCGTAGCGCGTCTGAATTCATGAATGAAATCGAATCCAATCCTATTGGCGTTGCGTGATGACGTAGCGAGTGACGGCATACACGGATGTGTACAAAGGCACGCCGGCACAAGCAAAGTCAGCTTTTTGCTATTCAGCAAGCGCTCTGTGTTGTGAAAATCAGTTTGTCCTATTTGGTGTTGTTTGTCTCAGTTCTGATTTATTGTAAAATGAGTGAGCAGTTTAAAAAGTGTGTGTTCCCATGCCCTCGCTTTATCACGGCTGGGGACACACACGAGATGTGTGTGGCTTGTTTAGGAGTGCAGCACGCCCAAGCAGCTCTCGAGGGGGCTGCTTGTGGCCACTGTGATTCTCTCTCTATGAGAGTGCTGCGTTCCCGTCTGGCTTTATTTTCTGAGGATGGCCAGATGCGCGCTCCCCGCGGTTCGGGTCCCGCATCTGCCGAGGCAATGCGGCGGCTTAGATCGTGGGGCTCGCAAAGGGAGCTTTCAGAGGGGATCGGGACTGCCGAGGCACTTTCCCAATCCTCATCTGAAAGCTCAGATTCCCCTATCCCCCGTTCGGGAGCCCGCTCCGCGGCTTCTCCCGTTCGGGATGCAGACCCAGTGCTGCAGCTGTCTGATTCTGAGGAATTAGATGTGCTCAGCATTGTGGAGGGGGATCTGCATGAAGCACACACACACTCAAACTGCGCCCAGCTATAATGAGCTTTTGGAGGTTGTGACGCGGGCTGTGGCCAAGCTGCATATTAGTTGGCCACAGGAGAGGCAGGAAGAGCGAGTCAGGAGCAAACTCGACGACCGCTTCCTGCAGCATCGCGCACATCCTCCACGCCGGTCTCTACCGTTCTTCCCGGATTTACACAACGAGTTGTGTAAATCCTGGAACAGGCCACTTTCAGCGCGCCTGTCTAACCCCCCGATGTTGAACTATAGTGACATTATGGGGGTTAGAGAGAATGGTTATGGGACGATGCCTCGGGTTGAGGAAGCTCTAGCCAGTTACCTTTCACCCGATGTTGCATCGTCCCTTAAGACACCGGCACTGCCCTCCAAGCCATGTCGTACTACATCTGCGTTGGTGGGCAGGGCCTATATGGCGGCGGGTCGGGCTGGTGCGAGCCTGCACACGATGGCCATTCTACAGGCGTACCAGGCCGACCTCTTAAAGGACATGGACCAAGGCGAGGGTCCTACTATGGAAGATATTGCTGAGCTTCGTAAAGCCACAGACCTGTCTCTCCGGGTTACCAAGGAGACGGCCCGCGCCATCGGCCGCTCCATGTCAGCCCTGGTAACCACGGAGAGGCATCTGTGGCTTAATCTCTCTGGCATCAAGGAGAAGGACAGGGCCTTTCTTCTTGATGCACCCATTTGTACCTCTGGTCTGTTCGGCGAGGCGGTTAATGCTGTCGTCGACAGATTTCAGGACACTAAAAAGCAGAGTGAAGCATTTAGGCAATATCTCCCTCGCCGGTCGAGGTCTAGGAAGTCGGCTGCTAGAGGGTCAAAACAGCCACAGCCGTCATCTAGCTCCTATCGCCAAGGCCAAAGAGGGAGTGTTGCTTCTAGAGGTCCCCCTCAAGCAGCTTGGGACTCTGGGCAGCGCTCTCACCCACAGCCTTCTGGAAGGACGGATCTGAGGACCGTCATCCAGTCCAGGAAGGTCCAGAGAGCGACCGAGGTCCCCTCTCTCGTCGGGCCCTCAGGAAGCTGGCGTCAGTATCCCGCCGTCTCTGACGCATCGGGACGCGCCAGCTTCCAGCGAGCACACGCTGTCTTTTCTGCCCCAAAGGCTTGCAGTCAGACAGCGTTCGCGCTCGCACACTGTGGGTCGTTGTCGGTTTTCCCCTGCCGGTCTTCCGCTTCAGGGTGCCGCCAAGGGCTTACACAAAACACTGGACACCAGCCCCGAGGGGCTGGTTCCCTTGGTGAATTTCGCAGAGGCATGGCAAAACCTCACGAATATTTCTCCATGGGTCCTGCGCACTGTGGAAATTGGGTACAGACTGCAGTTCCAGGTCCGCCCACCAAAATTCAACGGGGTGGTCTGGACGTTAGTGCGCCCAGAGCAGGGTCTGGTGTTGGGACAGGAAGTCAACTCGCTGCTAGAAAAAGGGGCCATAGAGCGTGTTCCCCCACTAGTCAGAGAGTCCGGGTTCTACAGCCGGTACTTCATAGTTCCAAAGAAGGATGGAGGGTTGGGTCCAATTTTAGATCTGAGGCATCTGAACCGGTCTCTGAGGAGATTCAGGTTCAAAATGCTCACTATTCCCATTATCGTGAGTCAAATCCAATCCGAGGATTGGTTTGTCACGATAGATCTAAAAGACGCCTACTTCCACATCTCCATCCTTCCATCTCACAGGAAGTTCCTAAGGTTTGCTTTCGGGGGCGAAGCTTACCAATATCGGGTTCTTCCGTTCGGCCTAGCACTCTCCCCTCGCACCTTTACCAAGTGTATGGATGCAGCTCTAGCACCCCTGAGGCTCGAGGGCATCAGGGTGCTCAATTACATCGACGACTGGTTAATACTGGCACAGTCGAGAGAGCTGGCGATTCAGCATCGAGATGTCGTCCTCGCCCACATCCAGAGCCTGGGGTTGAGACTCAACACGAAGAAGAGCGTGTTGACACCAGCCCAGAGAACCACGTTCCTGGGAGTGGTGTGGGACTCAGTCACGATGCAGGCACAATTGTCTCCTGCTCGGATCGAGTCTATCCTGACCTCAGTGTCCAGGATAAAGCTAGGCCAGGCCGTCACTGTCAAACACTTTCAGAGAGTGTTGGGTCTAATGGCAGCAGCGTCCAGCGTAATACCTTCTGGCCTGCTGCACATGAGAGCCATGCAGTGGTGGTTAAGAGCCAAGGGGTTTTCCCCGAGGGGAAATCCATTCCGCTTGATAAGGGTTACGCGCAGATGCCTTCGTTCCCTATCAATTTGGAAGAAGGCTTGGTTCTTGTCCCAGGGTCCCAGGCTGGGAGCGTCGTGTCACCGGATATCTATTTCGACAGACGCCTCCCTCACGGGCTGGGGCGCGGTCATGGACGGCCGTTTTACGAGAGGTCTCTGGCAGGACCAACATTCCTCTTGGCACATAAATTGCCTAGAAATGTTGGCGGTGTTCCGGGCTCTGAGGAGCTTTCTGCCAGACCTCCATGGTCGCCATGTCCTAGTAAGATCCGACAACATGTCGGTGGTATCTTACTTAAATCATCAGGGGGGTCTGAGGTCGCGCCCTCTGTGCAGACTGGCGCATCAGATCCTCCTGTGGTCCCAGCGGAGACTGTCGTCTCTCAGGGCGATGTATGTCCCGGGGGACCAGAACCAGGGAGCAGACATGCTGTCGAGGCAGGGGCTGAGGCCCGGGGATTGGAGACTCCACCCCGAGGTGGTGGAGTTAATATGCGAGAGGTTTGGCCCAGTGGAAGTGGACCTATTTGCGTCTCGAGAGACGACACACTGTCCACTGTGGTTCTCCCTCACACATCCAGCCCCGCTGGGGTTGGATGCCATTGTGCAGACGTGGCCGAGGCTGCGTCTGTACGCCTTTCCCCCAGTCGCTCTGCTCCCAGCAGTTCTGGAGAGGGTCCGTCAGGACGGAGTCAGCCTACTATTAGTAGCCCCGTTTTGGCCGGCCCGAGTATGGTTCTCAGACATCATCCTGCTTCTGGCAGGCCCGCCATGGCAGATCCCTCTGAGGAGGGACCTGTTGTCTCAGGCGGGGGGCTCAGTTCTCCACCCTCGGCCCGAGCTGTGGAAACTGTGGGTCTGGCCCCTGAGGGGGCACAGTACCTAGAAGCCGGCCTGTCAGCAGAAGTGGTTGAAACTATACTCACTTCCAGAGCTCCCTCCACGAGGAAGTTATACGGCCTTAAGTGGAATGTATTTTCCATTTGGTGCAAAGAGCGTAATTTGGACCCAGTTCACTGCCCAGTGGCTTCAGTGCTGGAGTTTCTCCAAGACCGCTTTTCTGCCGGGCTTACCCCGTCCACACTCAAGGTTTATGTGGCTGCCATTGCGGCTTTCCACGCTCCTCTGAGTGATGGTCCTCTGGGGAGGCATCACCTGGTCGTACGTTTCCTCCGTGGAGCCTGGAGGATGAGACCTGCGACTCGCACCAGGGTTCCCTCTTGGGACCTGGCAGTGGTTCTCTAAGGGCTGGCCGAGGCCGCCTTCGAACCATTGGAGTCGGCTGAGGCCAAGAACCTTTCGTTTAAGGTGGTCTTTTTGTTGGCCATTACTTCTCTGAGGAGGGTAGGAGATCTCCAGGCGCTCTCTATTTCCGGTGGGTGCTTGGAGTTTGCTCCAGGCAACATTAAGGCCATCTTACACCCCAGGCCCGGCTATTTGCCCAAGGTGCCATCTAATGTGGCACGGCCTATGGTTCTGCAGGCATTTCATCCTCCACCTCATGTGACGGCGGATGAGGGGAGACTTCATCTGCTCTGCCCTGTCAGAGCACTGCAGTGTTATATCCAGAGGTCTTCCTCATGGCGGAAGTCGGATCAATTGCTGGTGTGTTTTGGGTCGCCCAAGAAGGGGCTTCCCGCCTCTAAACAGACCATCAGCAACTGGATCGTTCAGACTATTTCCCTGGCCTATCAGGTGCGCAATTTGCCTTCACCTATGGCCGTGAGGGCTCACTCCACCAGAGGAATGGCGTCCTCTAGAGCCCTCCTTTCAGGGGTTTCTATCCATGACATATGTGAGGCGGCTGGCTGGGCCACTCCGCACACATTCATGAGGTTTTACAGTCTGGATCTTCCCTCTACACCCGGTGCACGAGTGCTTTCGTCCTAAGTTGTGGCTGAAGACAGCTTCACACTAGGATGAGCGGGGTTCGTTGTGGCATAGTGGGTATCTCGTTCCCCTAGTGTCGTCACCGACGCAGTTCGAGTTCCCTCGAAAGGGAACGTCTCGGGTTACGTATGTAACCCTTGTTCCCTGAGAAAGGGAACGAGACACTGCGTCGGTTCGCCACACCTCACCCTGCTTGGAGCACTTGCTTCATAGCAAAGAGCTGACTTTGCTTGTGCCGGCGTGCCTTTGTACACATCCGTGTATGCCGTCACTCGCTACGTCATCATGCAACGCCAATAGGATTGGATTCCATTTCATTCATGAATTCAGACGCGCTACGCTGAAGGGCGTTCCCCTAGTGTCGTCACCGACGCAGTGTCTCGTTCCCTTTCTCAGGGAACAAGGGTTACATACGTAACCCGAGACGGTCTACATGCTTCAAAACAAGTTTGTATGGAATTATGGGAAAGACAGATAAATATAGTGTGTTTATGTGTTGGGTTCTATTTGTGTTCCACTTTTGGGAAAGAAGGAAAAGGACGCAGGGCAAAGTAGCGGCGAAGCGTGAAGCATTAAATGCTTTTAAATTTAGGCCGGTGTTCTAAAAGCAAATGAGTGAATCATGTAGCAGTGAGGTATTAAAACAGAAACCTGATGCTGCAATGCCCAGGCAGCAGCTGCCAACAAAGCATTTGCCTGAATAGCTGTAAAACACTTTGACAGCACTGTTGACTTTGTGGCTAGGTAGATATTTTGTTTTTAAGATGCCAGAGATCAACTAAAATAGAGGGCCACCTGTTTCTTTGTAAAGGATGGCAAAAGTTGAATTGATCCCACATAAGAGGCTTTAGGTAGGTTTTACTTGTTGCCATTTTGGTAGAAGTCACGCATCGCACGGACCGAGCAGAGCGAGGGGACGCAACCCTATTTTAGTCTCTCATTCACAGTGTCAAACACATGATCTAAAACAATCATTTTCATATTCTTATTAGATGCCTTGCCTGAGGATTCGTTGAGGCTGAAAGCGATTCGTACTTCAGGTTTATCTGCAGAGACTCGTCGAGTTGAGGTGATCATTTATTCCTAGAAAAAGAGCAGATTTGGATTAAACAAGGGTGGATCTAAACCTTATGATTAATCTCAGAAGTATGAGATCAGCAGCCTTTCAGGGGGTCATGAAACGGTTTCATCATGTGCCCAAAGTTGCATCAGGGCTTAAACAATTGAAGATAAATCCCCTTGCAGCCAGCAAATGAGATCATACTTCTGAATTGGTTGCACAGTGTTTCTTATGAAATCATATTTGTGTATGTTTATAGTAATACTATATTTAATGTGCTAATGCTATATTTTATGGCTGAACATTAAGGAAGACACAAGTCCAATGTTAATGTCATGAAATAAAGAGGCTATAAAGCATAACTTGTTGGCTACTGTAACTTTACTTTGTTAAATCTAAAAGAAGATTCTCAAGAAGTTGAATTTGTTTCATATGATAATATGAGACAATAAAACTCCTTACCTGACAACGGAAACGTATTTACAGAAAACTGTCTAATAAAAAAAAGTTGCTCAGCAAAAGACACAAAGCTGAAGACACTCCATTGAGAAGCCTGTAGATCTTCTTGACCTTTTTATACTGTAAAAAGTCACATTAAATCAGTAATAATCCTCGTAGTGTAAACTGAGAAGCAAGAAGCAGGTTCACAAAACACAGCCAAAGACAAGACAGATCTTCAGCAGGAGGCTGTCAGAGTGGCACTGTGATTATGTGTGTGTGTGTGTGTGTGTGTGTGTGTGTGTGTGTGTGTGTATGTGTGTGTGTTAGACGGACACCAATTAAATGGCTCAGATGGCATGACTTTACACTAGAACAATGTCCACTTCTCCAATCAGCTTTGAGTGACCCACACATTGACAAGAACAATGCAAAGGTTTGATTTTCAGTGTAATTGTGTCCTTTGAAGATGGTTAGGGTCTGTGATTTGTAGTTTTTTTTGTGTGTGTTTTTGAACGATAGGTTTTTTTTTTGTTGCTTTTTGCTTTTTTTTTTTAAATAATACAATAGTCATCTGACAATAATCATCTGTGCAATCATTCAGTTGTGTACATCCAATTGTGTTACTCCCCTCGAGTTTTAATAAAGGCTAAGTCGTTCCTGGGTTAGCTGCTATTTATTTGGTGACAGAATCTTCCAACATGTCTTTACATGTTCCTTTACTGCTACATTTTCAGAACTGGTATAAATAAACACAGAAAACGTAAACTAACCTTAAATTCTTGACATATTTGCAGACAATATTAAACGAAATCACATAGGAAACTAAGAAATAAAGCATTTACAGTATATGCCATGTAAAATATCTTACTTGGCTTGTTACAAACACAGTCGCATAACAACACAAATAAATGACAAGTAAATAAAAATATAACGTTACCTCATTGGCCGCATGAACCCGAGAGGGTAAACTTAGGTGTATTCATCTTCACGCTTCACCGACAAAACTTATGGATAACTTTACAATCTTCTGAGGCTTTCAGACATCAGGCTCGTAAGCCGCAGCACATCTCTCTGATCTTAGCGCGTGCACCCATACAGCGTCCTCATAGCAACAAACTATACTTTCCACACGGAACAAAAAATAAGTTCCCTCCTTTTTTCACAAAGTTTTTAACAAAAAGAAATAAACATGAAATTATTATTTATTGGCCATAAGACATTATTTATTTCAATCATATGCTTTTTAACCTCTTATATATTTATATTTGAACTGTGAACCATTGAACTGAAATATATGTGTTGCCTTTGAAGGTAGCTACAAATTGTTTAAAACAACAGTCACACAGAGAGAAAATATAAAAAATATAAAGATATTTATCTAAATAAGTAAAAAAATAAATAAAAAAAAGAATTCATTTAATCAAAAATAAAACATTTAAAATAAACAAATACGTAAATATAAGGCTCAGAAAACTATTTAGAAATGTCTTATGCTTTGTATTATATATATATATATATATATATATCAATATCAATATCACTTTTAATCATTTAAATATTTTTTAAAAAAATAACGTTTAAATTTGTTTATGTTAAAAGCATCAAATAGTACATTTAGGCCTATTTCAGAATATTAGACTATATAAGACTCTATAATGTTAAACAAATGACAATAACATGGAAAATATATTTATGTTGTATTCATTTGTCATAGTCATTTGTTTCTGTTCTTATTTTATTACTGAGTGTTTACTAGCCTATTTACTTATTTTATTGCTGACTGTATACTTGACTGTGTAAAGGAATAGTTCACCCACAAATAAACATCATAATATGGTAAATGTGGTATTTTAATAAATAAATTAAAATCTTCACAAATTTTGGGAAATTATCAGTCAATTTGATCGCAAAATTATTTATGATTAATGAATATTAAATAGCTTGCTTTTTTCAGATTTTCTTCTGGGTGGGCACTTAATCGGCGCTCCACTATCTCGCCTCTCTGGATCGGTAATCCGTGTTTCTGCTCTCTACTGCTGCGCCTGTTCTTTCTTAGCTGCATGCTTCCATCCAGTGCGTTGCAGCCTCACCCTGCATCAGTCTAATATCCACCTTATCTGGTCAAAATGGCTCTTCACGTCCCCAAAGCCCCGGGCTTTGCCCAGATGTTAAAGGATGGTGCAAAGGTAGGGCTGCTGAAACCGTGTTTTGCTCGTATTGTGTTGTTTTTAAGAGCACACGCAGTGACTTCCCATAGATGTTTCTAGAACATGGGCCTCATGCCGTCCAACTAACTTACCGGTAAACCTACCAGACACTTGAGACTTCAACTGAATATTAACGTTTTGTACAAGGTCGTCAATAACATTCGGTCTTCATGAATTAACGAAGGTTAGATAGTGAATGGGTTCCGTTAGAAAGTAAGTGATGTATGAAGTTAGCATGTTAGCTGAAAACATGTGCCACTGACAGACACTCCTCACACTTTCATCACTCATCCAAATGTCTTGTAATCATACAGTAATAAAAAAGGAAAATGCTTTTGTTAAACTTCAGAATTACAACACTATTTATTTTAAATCTACAATTTTATTTCGTTTCTATAAAAATGACGTTTTATGCGGTTCCTCATTTCTCTGCGTATTCGTTTGTTTATATGCTGATCAGATCATTTAACTTAGTTATTATATTTAGCACAATAACTTTTTTTAAAAGATTCAGCGTTTGCAATTAACTTTTGTAAAGATTTAGATTGTAAATATTTAGCGTTTGAGATTTCAATTTGTTTTATTTTAGATTTTCACACCTTTTATTTGTTCTGACAAATGTAGTTTTGATGAGCATCAATATATACAAAACAGATGTCAAAAATGCTATTCTTTCTGATCCATCCGTTTTGTTGTCTTTAAATGATATAGTAAGGGTGTGCAAATTATTTTTTTAGAAATCATAAACTTCATTATAAAATTATTGCACAATGAGAGCAAAATTGGCCCCCATTTTTTATTATGCTATACATTATGAAAATATCAACTTATATGGCTGATCTCTCACTGCCTAGTATTTACGTTTAAATACTTTTAAAAAAGGAAATCAGGATGCGTGTCACTTCAATTTTGTATTTTAAAACCACTAACAAACCCCACATGTTTTATGTTTTCAAAATATGAAATTACTTTTGTCTTGTTTGTTCTTCACAATCAGCACTATTCGGGTCTTGAAGAGGCTGTTTACAGGAACATCCAGGCATGCAAGGAACTGGCACAGACCACAAGAACTGCATATGGACCCAATGGTGAGGCTAATTAATTTGTTTAATGTGATGTCTTGGACCTTTTTTATGTGAAACTACTGGGTTCTGACTGAACAGTGCATGTTTATTTAATTCTGTACAGGTATGAACAAAATGGTCATCAACCACTTGGAGAAACTCTTTGTCACAAATGACGCTGCCACTATTCTGAGAGAGCTGGAGGTAAATATTAGTAATTGTGATAAACTCATTAATTGAAGGTGCAGTAAGTGATATCTGAGAAACACTGTTGAAAGTGGATCGGACCGAGAGCAAGGACTGGGCGATAAACAATATCATATAAAGATCGCAGTAAAATTTATGTTGATAAAGATAAGCTCTGTATATTTTTTCTTGATATGAATTAATCTAACAGCCCATCACACAGCAGAAATAAATGTGACAACAGCCAGTCAGTGCATGTCACTAATAAGGGATTTCTATCAGAGTTTCCGCTAGAAAAAAATGGTGCCGGTCAGAGTTTTCATTTCACGGACATTTTGATGATATGCCGGTCAAATATCGCCTCTTAATTAGTCAAGTTGAGGAAAACTGGAGGCAGGCTATGTAACTTAAAAAATGACATAATCAGGCCGTATTGAATGCAACATGTTTATTAGCCTAACTTTCAAATAGACGGAAAAAAAACATGAACGTCCGATTGGCGTCAATCAATTGGTTTCACATTCATAGTTTAACAAACCATTCCCCCGCCCCACATAAAATATCTGAATAGTAGCCTATTGTTTTTACTCAAGCGAACTTAATTATACTCTCTCAGTAGGCTATGTCTCATTTAGCTGGTAACATTTAAATTGGCCACCGTGAAATGACTCCTTGTCAAATGAACTGGAACAAACAAATGACTAGGGTCATAACATTGTCTCGCGTCATTTTAGGCTACTTTTTACGCTGTTTTGCGGTGCTGAATTGTGCAGCTGCCGACTTAAAATCGAAACTTCCCAGTGTCTCCACAACTTGCAATGCGCATAAGCCGCGTAAGGGCCTGTTCACATATCGCGTCTTTTGCGCGCTCAAGTTCGTTATTTCAAATGTATGCGCGCTCATAATGGAAGCAACACCCTCGTTTTTTCCAAGCGCGTCCGCGCCGCATCGAGATGAAAAACATCTCTGTGGATTGAGGTAGGGCTGCTATTTTTATTTAACGAAAAATCTTAGTCTAACGGGGAAAAAATTGCCAGTTTTTTGAAAGCTTCGTTCAAACGGATTCAGTGTTTTCTTTTTGTCATCTTAATTTGTTCATTATTTAAATAAAAATTTATATTTAGTGTTGGCCAATTTTATGTTTTTTATTTGTATTATTTTGTTTTTCTCTGTTGTCACTGTCAGAAATGTTGCATGTGTGTGAAAATTTGATTTGAATCCGGATTCTGTATGCTGCTGTTTGCACTTTGCACGTTAAAATGAACCCTTTGATAAAAAAAAAAAAAAGTTTGTATTTTTAATGGGTCACAGATACGCGTCAATTTTATTTTTATTAAATGCCAATTCAATATTATCTTATCAGTTAACGGTTAATAATCGATTAACGAGCGGCGGTTGTCGGTCGGGAAAATTAACGGAAATGAGCATCCCTACTGGATACATTTTGTTGAAATAATGACGGCGAGGGCATCACGTCGCAGGCTTACGGCATCGATAAGAGGAGCGGTGTCCGAAGACTCAATGCTTGTAAAATGGCAAATAATCCTTCTGATCGGTCGGTGTATTTTTGCTTTATACATTTTAGGCTTATTCTCAGATTCAGATTGTGTTAGGGGGGCGGGATTATTAGGCCATTTTAATCGGACAATTTGACCGGAGAGATTTAATTTTGTCGGACATTTCATTTTTTTCCCGGCCAATATC